GCTATTGTAAGTGGAATCTTTTTTTTTTTTAATGTTTATTTATTTTGAGAAGGGGGGAAGAATGGTGTGTAGGAGGGTGAGAGAGAGAGAGAGAGAGAGAGAGAGAGAGAGAATCCCAAGTAGCCTCTGCACTGTCAGCACAGAGCCTGATGTGAGGCTTGAACTCACAAACCGTGAGATCATGACCTGAGCTGAAGTCGAGTTGGACACTTAACTGGCTGAGCCACCTGGGTGTCCCTGGAATCTTCTTAATATCATTTTGGATTGTTCATTGTGAATGTATAGACATAGAACTGATTTTCATATATTGACCTTGAACCCTTGCTGAACTTGCTTATTAGCCCTGTTGTGTGTGTGTGGGTGTATGTGTGTGTGCGCGCGCACATATGTGTGTTTCTTAGGTTTTCTATAGACAAGACCGCTTCATCTGCAAACAGGTTGTTTTACTTCTTCTTTTTCAATCTGGAAGACTTTTATTTCATTTTCTCGTCTTGTCTGCCCCGGTTGGAGCCTCTAGTACCAAGCAGATATCCTTGTCTTTTTTCTGATCTTATGGAGAAAGCTCCCCTTTGGGTTTTAACACAGACAATGTACATTACTTTTCTTACTTTTCCCTTCTCTTCCTCATTTGCTTCTGCAGAACCCAATCTAAGAGAAGCGCCTTCACGCGAGGCCCTCTCCAACACATCCTCCATAATAGCTGCCGAAGTCTGATCTCCAAAAACAAAATCTTTCAATAATAATAACAGATGCCACCAACTTAGTTCAACTCAACTCAACTAAGCGCTGAGCTCTGACAGTGTAGTATCAACACGATTCTTATATCCATCAGAAAACCGAGGCTCAAAGACATTCAATAATACGCTCGGGGACAAAGGTCTAGATAGAGGCAGGGCTGAGCCCTGCACCCATCTCACATGGTCACATCTCACTGCTCTCTTCAGGCCCTGGACTGTTTCCCCAGGTACCACACTGCTCAGGAGCCTCTTTGGCTAGAGCTAGGTCACATGGTCACTTCCAGGTGACGCCATGGTCAAGGAAGCCTGGGGCAGGAAGCATTTTTTTTTTTTTTAGAGAGAGCACGAGCAGGGGAGGGGCAGAGAAAGAGAAAGAGGGGGACAGAGGATCCGAAGCAGGTTCTGTGCTGACAGCAGTGAGCCTGATGAACCATTGGCTCATGACCTGAGCTGAAGTTGGACACTCAACTAACTGAGCCACCCAGGCGCCGTGCAAAGTGCAGAATTTTATTTCCCTCCTACTTATTATTTCGAAACTTTTCAGAACTATAGGAACGGAATGGACTGTAATGTAGATTTCCCCTAGATTCACCTATAAAAAACTTTTTTTTTCTGAACCATTTGAGTGCATGTGGCAGATAGGAGGATACTCCACCCCCAAAGACTTTAGCACGTGCCTCCCGAAACAAGAAAATAAACATTAATTCAACAATACCTCCTAGGACGTGGTTCCATATCCAAAACTTTCCCAGTCATCCCAAGTACCTTTTTGCAGCGTCATTGTGGTTTTTACTGTTGTCATTTTAATCTGGGATCTACTCTAGATTCTTGGTTGCATTTCATTGTCTGCTTCTGCCTCTTTCTTCTTTTAGACTACTTTTTTTTTTTTTTTTTTTGCTTTGTTTTGTTTTTCATGACATTGACCTTTTGGAAGAGGCCAGGACAGTCGTTTTGTAGAAGGTTTCACATGGTGGATCTGCCTGTTTGTTTCCTTGAGATTAGACTCAGGTCACACATTTTTGATGTGTGTGCTCTTCATTGCGTTCCATCAGGAGGGACATCAAGTCGCACGGTCCTACTTCTGGGGTGCTAGATCTGGCCATTTGGTTAAGGCGGTGACACCCAGGTCTTGTCACTGTAATCCAGTTTTCCCTTTGTAATGATTAAGAAATGTACAGTGATTTGCAGGTCACCTGAATATCCTGATCTCCAACCACCTTTCACTCAATGGTTTTAGTATCTGTTGGTGATTTTTTGCCTCATTCCCTTAATTCACTGAGGCTTGCAAAATGGTGATTTGTCAATCTCACATTGATTTGCTCACATTCTTTTGTAAAGTTTTCCATTTCGTCCCCTACCTTCTCTCTCTTTCACCACATGACTATTGGATTAAAAAAAAATTAACATGGGGGCGCCTGGGTGGCTCAGTTGCTTAGGCCTCCGACTTCGGCTCATATCATGGTCTTACAGCTCGTGGGTTCAATCCCTGCACTGGGCTCTGTGCTGACAGCTCGGAGCTTGGAGCCCGTTTCAGATTTTGTGTCTCCCTCTCTCTCTGCCCCTCCCCTGCTCGCACTCTGTCTCTCCCTGTCTCAGAAATAAATGAACATTAAAAAAATAAAAATAAAATAAAAAAATTATTTGTTATAAGCTCAAATTGTCAAATTGTTATAATGCTCAAATTGTTCCAGATTTGGCCAGTTGGGGGCCAGTTTTTCTAACCAGATACGTTGTTGCACAGAAGGAAATTGGGGTTCTCTTGTAAGGAAGGAGAGAATGGGTATTGGGCAGCGACTAATAGGCCTGTTACATCACCTTACCTCCCCAAAGCCCCAGTTTCCTAGGCCTTAGAATGGGGAGATAACTCTCTCTGGATGGTCATGGATTAACTGCACACAAATTATGTCCATGTCATAAAACCTGGCACAAAGGTCTTCAAAATACATAAATCTCCCTTCCTCCCTTTTTCTCTGCATTCCTATGCCATTGCCCTTATTCAAACCCTCATCGTACTTTGGAAGTATAATGTCATGTTATCTTCCCCTAGTGAACCTTGTTTTTCTCATCTGTGAAATGGGTATAGATCTTGTTGGGCTGGTTGTCCTGAGACTCAGCCAGGCTGCTGGCACTGTACCCCCCACTCGAAGTCTTGTGAAATTCCAATTCTCTCCCAGGATTTTGCACACAGTGGATCACACACAGTCTCATGCTCAGATCTGTGGTTCGCACTCGTGTTTTGCGGAATCAATTCAGGGTGTTATTTCATCATCTGACCCAGAAGAAAAGCCCACCCGTTCCCTCCATATTTACAACCCCTGTCCAGAGCCACAGATGTTTGGGTATTTGGGAGACCTTCAACCACATGGGGAGCATGTAGTGGAAGCTGATAGTACCGCACCCAGATTTTTTACCAGCCGTGAGGCCACCCCCCAGCTTCTGTGGTTGTGGGCTGTTCGCAGCTTACAGAGGCCCCTTTCACTGGGGAACTGCCCTTGGCTGCCAATAAGTGACTGACGTGGGGGACAGAAGGCCTGTCCCCTTGTCAAACGAGGAGACTAATTTTGGATGTAATTTGTTCTCCAAAGCGCCGCCTGCACTGCAACCCCACCCAGGATTAGGCTGGAGCCTGTCTCCAGCACTGACCACATCTTTACTTCGCTTTCTCCCACCTCATCCTGTTCCCTGACTTCATTTCTCCGGAGGCACTCCCCCAATAAACCACTTGAACCTGAATCACCTTCTTAGGCTCTGCTTATAGGGGAGAAATGATGGAGAGAAAGGAAGGAGAGAGATTTACACATCAAAGTACTTTTTTTAAAACATTTTTTAAATGTTTATTTATTTTTGAGAGAGAGAAAGACACAGAGTGTGATTAGGGGAGGGGCAGACAGAGAGGGAGCTGTCAGCACAGAGCCTGATGTGGGGCTCCACCCTGCACACCATGAGATCCTGATCTGAGCCAAAGTTGGACGCTTAACCAACTGAGCCACCCAAGTGCCCCAAATCAAAATGTTTTCAATGAGAGGCAGGTATCTTTGTTCATAAAAATCCTTTGGCCTCACCTCTGGAATGTTCACGGGCTTCTTCACCCAAGCTGTTCTCATTGGTCTCTCTCCTCCTTACTCCTTCTTTTCCAGGTTCCCCAAAGCAGCTCCAAACGATTCTTGCTATTTCATATAGCAATTCGGTGTGCCTCAGTTCGATTCCAAACTCACTTCCAGGCCCACTTTGGTAAATCAAAGCCATCAACAACGCAGTTGAACAAAAGGGTGGGGTGGGGGTGGGGGCTTCATTCAAGGTCACGGTGCCTGTAAATTGCAATCATTTATGTTGCTCCATTACACATACGATCCTGTGTAAGAAGCATAAACACAATGCTTGGTATACTGCACTCAGCGCATGGCATGCATGCTCATTGACAATGTTTCCTAAATGCGTCAGATCATTTACTGCATTCTAGGGCATTTAGAATAAAGCTCTGACCCTGGCTTTTTCGGCCCTACATGATCTGGGCCCTTCCTGCCCCCCTGACCTTGCCTCTGGCTCTCCTCTGCTGCTGCTATTTCTTGAATGTGACAAGGTCTTCCTTGCCTCAGGGCCTTTGCACTGGTTGGTTCCCAGCCAAGTTCTTTCCGGGCTAACTCCTACTCATCTTTAGGTCTCAATTCGAATGCTGCTTTCTCAGAGAGGTAGCTTTGGCCTCTCAAATTAAAGGAGGCCCCCCTCCTCTTAATTTCTCTCATGGCATTGTGATACAGTTTTTCGTCTTTGGCACTTATCACAGTGATTAGTAAGTTTACTCATGGGCTTGCTTGTCTTTTCATTTGTTCCTTCCGTTGCACGTAAACGTCTCGGTGGCTGGGAGCGTCTCGTTCGCGGTTGCTTCTCGGCGGCTACTTCCACGTCTGCCCAGGGTTGAGTGGAGCGCTGTTCAACACGAGTTTGCTGAAGGCGCCGCGCAGCGAGTCAGGCGAAGGTCGCCCCCGCACGCCTGCCGCAGCCTCCCCGGCGTCTCCGGGCCTTGGGTCATCACCCTTGACTCTGCTTCGAGGGTGAGGCTCCCACTCGCTGCTTCACTTCCACGCGCTTTCCAGCGCTCACGCACCACGCCTCCGCGCGGTCGCTAGTTACAGAAGGGCGGTTCTGGCCGTCGAGACTACAACCCCCACAACGCCCCGCGGGCCCGCGCCACATGATTGGCTGAGCCCCGGGCGGCGACCAATGGGACGTGGCCTTGTTGGCTTGTGCCGCTGCAGGGAAGCGCGGTGCGCCTTGGGAGCCAGAGCCCGGCGTCCCCCTGGTTGCTCTGGAGTCGGGTCGCGTGGCCGCCTGCCCGCTCGCCTCCTGCCATGGGGAGCACCGAGAGCAGCGAGGCCCGAAGGGTGTCCTTCGGAATGGACGAAGAGGAGCGGGTCCGGGTGCTGCAGGGCATCCGGGTGAGCGGGCCGCCGGCGGGCGCGAAGAGCGAGCGCGGCCTGGGCCGGGTGGGCGTGGAGGGCGCGGGCCAGCCCGAGGGGAGGTTCGGGCCCGAGAGCGGCCGGGCGCGCCCCGCTCGCCGAGCCCCCCTGACGCCCCGGTGGCGAGCCCCTCTCCCTCGGCCTTGGACGTGAGGGACCCGGGGAGTGGCCGCCTGCAGGCTTCGCCGCCCTGGCATCGGGGGAGAGAGCGGAGAACGGGAGAGGTGGGGGGGGGGGCACATTGCAGCCCCGGTTGAGCCGCTGCAGACCTGAGCTTGACCCCTGCGCCCCGGGGCCCACGTCGTGTTCCGCAGAGGCGGACTGCCTCCAGTCCGGGGCACCGAACAGCCTCCTCCCCGAGGCTCTCCGAGTCCCCGCACCGCAGCCGCAGGAGCAGTTGTGAATTCACGTTGTGAATCAGATCATACACCCTTCCCCTTGCTTAATACGCCCCCGTGGGTGTCTGGCGCGTTTAATGAAGAGGAACCGCCGTACGTTGTCTTACAAAGCTGCCCTGCCGACCCGTGTGAGCGCGTCTGATCCGTGTCCCCATCTGAGTACCGGCTTCCGGGGCCGCAGGATGTTGGCTTGCTCCAAGCGCAGGACCTCTGCCTTCGCTGTTTTCTGCCCTCGGTCTTTTCTGACAGGAGGCGCTTCTCATACTTGTCACAGTTCAGTAGCACCTGAGTATCCGTAGGTGACCAGTCAATCGAAAGTACTTCCCACCCACAGTATCCCACGTTATTTTCCCGGCCCGCATCGCCATTGGGTACTTGTACCGATAGTTTACTTGTTTGTTGTGTTTCCCACCACAGTGTAAGCCCCTTGAGACTGAGGCGTCTGTTTCAAGACTCTGTGCCCAGAACCTAGAGGAATAATAAAAGCAGCTCACGTCTGAGCCCTCAGCAAGGACCACGCGTTCCTTGGAATCCTTTGTGGGCAGCCTCTCATTTAATTTTCAACAGCCGGGTGGCACAGGTAGAATTCTCTCTGCCCACTTGGTAGAGTAAGGACAGGTTGGGCACAGAGAGGTGAAGTGACTTGTCCAAGGTCACCTGGATAACAAGAGGGAGAGCTGGGATGGATGGGGGCAGCTCCAGGGCCAGCTCACTGAATGCTGCGGTCCCCCACCTGTGCCTGGGGCCAGCAGCTGCTCTGTACACCATTGTCGGGTGGCCCAATGGATGAAACCAGCAAAGCAGGGACCAGGTTGAAATAGAATGCCCAGAGCAGGGTGTAGGGCAGTTAGTTAAATTACGTAGTGGCTCAGAAAAAGACATCCGGAAATCTAATTTCTGGGTGGAGAGATGCTCATGAGCGGTGTGACCTTGGGTGAACAACTTCTCTTTTGCATCTCAATCACTGTGTTTAAAAAAAAAAATCAGAGGAGGGCGTGTCATCCCAGGTGCGGTCTCAGATGAAGATGTGTGTGTGTTTAGGAACAGTAGTGTTTTGGGGGGGGCGTCCCTAGTCTTAGGCTGGCGTGCGACTTAGCAGGCACCAAATGTGACCTGTCTCTTGTTGAGAACAAAATGAGGAGTCGCCTCCTGGTTGAGGGTTGAGAGGCAGGAGCCTGAATTGAAATTTAGAAAAAGGCTCTTGGCTGTGTTTGGGTGCCCTCTCCCCTTTGTCACCTGGGGACACTTTGTATACAGTGTCGGGGAGTGTCGGAAAGTGAGGTCAGTCTAAGGTCTTCTGAGATTCAAGGCAGTCCCTTGGAAGTTGAGTTCCCCTAAGTTGACAGAGGGTCATTTTTGGCAGGTATGAGACTAGTACCGTTTATTTCTAGTTCCCTTAACAAAGTATAAGTTCTCTTTAAAGATGGAGAATCAGGCTTAGGGCTATTAAAAATTTGTCCTAGGTATTACCTGAGTGACTGATGGAACTTTAGTCCAGATCTTTTGGGTGTGAGAAACAGCCTTTTCTCACCACTCCAAGCTCCCTCCCCCAGTGATATGCGAGGCGAAATTGAGTGAAAATTGTGTGACCAAGCCTCTACTTGTTCCCACAGTCTCCCAGCTTTGGTGACGCTGACTGCTGGGCAAACTCATCAGAGTAAATGACTTGCTCAGAGGCACACGGTGGAGGGCATGGCCCGTTCCTCCCTCCCTCCCTCCCTTCCTCCTTTCCTCCCTCCCTCTTGTGTGCTGGTTTGGGAGAGGGAGATTTAAGAAAGGAGGTGAAGGCAATGAGCGTTTTGGTGTGGGGGCTTTTTCTACTAGCAGAGCTACTTGAGGGGTGAGGAGCCCACCTTGTCCTTAAGCAGGCAAGTAAAAGATCAGTAGCGATCATTGGATGAACCAAATGAGAAGTTAGTTTAGTACAAGGTAGATGCCGAAGAAAAGTATCTGCCCCAGGTCCTTCAGAGAAAGTTAAATATTCTTAAAGACCACTCGTACTTAATCCCCAGACCCTTATCCTGGAAAGTACTCTAGTTCCCTTAAGATTCAGCGCTAGGACCTTGCTCCTTTGCACACGTATTTGCATAAATTTACATTCCGAGTTCAAGCCCTAATTCCATGGAAGGTAAAGGAAATGTAATTAATGCAAAACGCTGCAATTACATTCAGCTCCAGTTTGCAGAGCAGGCATGTGTGAAATACATAAGGATCTCCTTTTAGCCGGTGTATTTAACCTCCTTCTCCAATGAGAAGGTACACAGACGACAGTCATGTCCCGCGTGTGCCCGCTGCTGTGCCCCGCGGAGGCGGCCATATCTGGTAACTCGGCTGAAGTTGGTTGCTTTCCAACATCTAGACCCCGCTGGCCTCCAGCATTTTCCCCTTCCAAGTGCTTGGCCGCCTGCACCTCTTCCCAAGTCACTTCCTGGTTGGCTGCATGATAGCCGTGCCCCAGGCTCCTTACACGTCGGGGCTACTTTACGTTTGCCATCATTCGTTGCTTCCGTGAGGGGAGGGCAGAGGAGGATGTATTTAGATGCGCAAGAAACAGTCCCCAAACACGTCCCTGCCGGAGAAGCCACGTGCCTGAGCCCGGAACCTGCAGCCACCATTTATCCGTCACCTCAGCAGAGGCTCACTGCGCACAGTGCTTGCCAGGCAATAAGGGACAAACCCCAGGTCCTTACCCTCATGGAGACCACAGCCCGAGGGCAGGCCAGACCAAAAGAAAGACAAAAAGGCAAAGGAATAAGGAACTGCGAGTACCACGAAGGGAACAAACATGTGCAGAGAAATGGGGGTCCCCGCTCGCGGCGGGAGGGCAGACACCGCCACGCTGAGGGGACACCGAAGATGTGCCCGAGCCAGCCACGAGAGGCGTGCACTCTGCGCTGTTTTCTGAGCCCTAGCTCAGATATGCCCCCCCCCCCGCCAACCTTGTGACCTGTCATCCCCATCGCAGACATGACATGGGTTCAAGGAGGCAAAGGAACCCAAGATTGCGGCTCGTGAGCCGTGGAGCCGGAGGCTCATTCCAAGTCCAAGGCCATGTGCTTGGCCAGTGACAGAGGGGCTGGGATGTCGAAGAAAGGTGGCCAGGCGCTGAGGCTAGACAGGTGATGGGCCCTGAATTGCCAGGGAGGGCAGTCCACACTGCAGTTCTGTGATCAAGAGAGGCGCTTTGGGAAGATGCCATCTGATGATGGTGATTTTTCTTTTCTTTTTTTAAAGTGGTATTTTTGAGACGTCTTTTACATGTAAAATTCACCCATTTGAACGATTTTTAGCAAACTTGCACAGTGGAGCAACTGTCACCACAGTCAGATTTTAGAACATTTATTCTCAAGACCTAAAAAGATCCTTTGTGCCTATTTACAGTCCCTCGCCACTCCCACGCCCCACCCCAGGTAACCGTCAATCCTTCTGTTGCTTTGAATTTCCTTTTTCTGGACATTTCATATCAATGCACTCAGATCTTGTATGTCTGGCTTCTTTCACTTAGCATAATGTTTTTGGTGTTGCTTTGTGGATGTAGCATATATCAGCGGTTTAGCCCTTCTTATTGCCGAGTGGTATCTCATTGCCTGGCTCTCCTGCGGTTGGTTTATACTAGTTGGTGGACATTTGAATTGTTTCCAGGTCTTCACTATTGTGAATAATGTTGCGGTGAACATTTGCATACAAGTTCTTTTTCCCTTCCTTCCTTCCTTCCTTCCTTCCTTCCTTCCTTCCTTCCTTCCTTTCTTTTCTTTCTTTCGTGGATCTCTGTTTTCGTTTTTCTTGGATAAATACCTAAGAGTAGAATTGCTGGGTCATTCTGTTTATGAATTTGATGAGTTGTTAGGTTTAACTTTTTAAGAAACGGTCAGTCTTTTCTAAAGCGGCTATACCATTTTATATTCCCGCCGGCAATAGATGAGGGTTCCGTTTTCTCCACATCCTCACCGACACTTATTGTTTGTCTTTTTGATTATAGCAATTCTAGTGGGTCTGAAGTGGTATTTCACTGTGGGCTTGAATCTATGTTTCCCAAGTAGCTAATCGAGTTGAATATCTTTTCATGAGCTTATTTGCCATATATTTATATATAAATATATATATATATTAACGTTTTTATTTTTGAGAGACAGATCATGAGTTGGAGAGGGGCAGAGAGAGAGAGGAAGACACATAATCTGAAGCAGGCTCCAGGCTCTGAGCTGTCAGCACAGAGCCTGACATGGGGCTCGAATCTACAAACCATGAAATCATGACCTGAGCAGAAGTCAGATACTTAACTGACTGAGCCACCCAGGTGCTCCCATCCATATATTTTCTTTGGTGAAATATGTATTCAGATCTTTTGTCCACTAGTACCAGGGCTGTTTGTCTTTTTATTATGAGTTACAAGATTCTTTGATGCTGGATACAGGTCTTCTATCGTATTATAATTGCAAATATTTTCTCCCAGTGTGTGCTTGTTTTTTCATTTTCTTTTTTTTTCTTTTTTTTTTTTTTTTACTGTTTATTTTATTGAGAGAGAGAGAGAGAGAATCCCATGAGGGGTGGAGAGAGAGAGAGACAGGGAGAGACAGAGAG